GAAATGTGTCCTCCCACAGATGTGTTAAGCTGCTGTTGTCTCCTGTTTAATTCCTGTAGCTTCCTCTCCAGCTCTCGCTTCTGTTCCCTGTAAACATTTCATCCACATTACTGTCTTGTAAATAGTAACTTTACTTGTTAATAAATACTACATTAAAAGAGGGAATAAGAAAGCAATAATTTACTAGTATTCAAAATTTATATTTCTGTATATATAGTTTATGGACTCTACAGTATAGAAATTTGAATATCATGACAAAAAAGGAATGGTAATATAAAATAAAAAAAAAGATATTAGTATGTGCCTCACTCTGTTTACAATATGATGTGCAAATGCTAAATTTACTCAAAATATTAATTTACTTTAATATTCAAAACTGCAGGTCACACAGTTTTTTATTTTCAAAGCTCCTTCTTATATCCATTTTTTTTAAGTGAGGGAAAAATAAAAGTGCTTATAATCTTTCAAAACTTGTTTTTTTCTAAAAAGCAAAAAATCTTCCTATATCACTCATACTTACGCTGCATGTGAACCAATGACCATTAAATCTAACAGTGGTCTGTTAAAACAAATTTGTGTTAAAAGAGCTACATATTAAACTAGTAAAATTTTAGAATTCTATATGTTTAATTAATTGAAGAATAAATGTATCACACATTATATATACAGTAAATAAAAGTATTTCAAGGTATATATGTATTTCACAGATAAACCATAATTACATGTAAATAAAAGTATTTCAAGATATACTGTACAAGTATTTAATAGTAGAATAAATGTATCATCATGACCATACAATACAAGTGCATGTAAATAAATGTAATTTTAATAAGTACTATACATGTTTATTTCAAGTAGTATATTTTACATGTTTTACAGTTAAAAGAATCTAACTGTATCTCATACAAGCCCTCAACTGGGTCCTTAGGACAATATAATTTTAAAGATAGATCATTCTATCTACATTGTAATATTACTTCAACCAATGCCCCATGTTTCTACACTTCTTCCAAACTCAGAGAAGATAATTGTACTTACTCTATCTCTCTCTGTTGTTCTAAGACTTCCTCCACAGATCGCAGATTCTGGTCACCAAACTCTGGCTCCATAACCTAAAACAATTTTACCAGAAAGTATTTTATAGACAGTAGCTTTTAAGTGTGTGAATTGTAATATAATAATCTAGATTTTATACATAAATTTACTTCACTTTGTAGAATGAAAATTGTTTCAAAAAAGTAATTGAGCCCGTTTTTTTTTTTCAATATTCATGTATTTTCTAAATAGAAAATTTCTGGAATAGAAATAAAGCATCATACTGACTGATGGTATAAAATAAAATTTACTTCGGTAGAAATGGGCGCATACAGTATAAAACATTAACTGTAATATGAATTCAATTTAAAGCCTTAAAGGTCAAAAGGTTAAATACCTGTTTTACTGGTTCCCTCTGCCCTGACCTTGACCTCTCCTGGGGATACTGTTGTGTCTGTTGCCGTGGTAACTTCTCTGGTTGTACGACCTTGACAGGTGCTATGTTCTCATTACCTGGGGAACCTTGTTCTGAGATAGAGTACTCAGAGAGTGTGGCTGCTCATGACCAAAAACAAAATAAGCACTGTAAAAGTGGAAATTTTAGCAAATTTTGCAATGTAATTATTTTGCAAAATTTAACTTAATTTTGGCTTTGCAACAAATGATTTTTTATTAAGTACCATGCTACAACAACAAATCAAGACATTAAGTTTATCCCTTAACCTATGCAAAAATAAAAGCTATGGCCCTTGGAAATCAATGAACAAAATTACAAATAATATATAACAATGATTCATTTTAGACTGATTTCTTTTCCGATATGCACGGATTGCTGCAAATGTTTTACTTTACTTTTTTTCATGGTTTCTTCAATAGCTGTTTCCTAATTGACTTTTTCTTACCACACATCAGTGTTTACCTGTGCTCTTTCCCGGGGACGGCTGGCCTGGTTTGGTCGTCATGGATGCCCCTCCACTGGGAACCTCCTGCATGGACTTAGACATCCATTCCTGTCTCTGGGACTTGATTCTGTCCATCAGTTTCTTCAGAACTTTCTCTGTGATAAACAGTTAATAAACTTAAGTCAGAAATTCAATCTAGACTTCCTGTTGTCATATTCTTATTAATAAGGTTCAACACCCCTCTCTCTTACTTTACCGATTTAATTTACAAAATGTTATTTAAATTTGGTTTTTTTTTTTTTTAAAAATAATTATACCATTTGTCCAGAAATTTAATTTATAATCAAAATGCAAAAATTTCAACATACCTTGTTAGACAAAATTTAAATGGTGATAGTTTTTAAAAGAAAAATAATCAGTTGTCCCAGTCAGAGTTATCTATCTTATCAAAAGGTGGTGAACCTTAATCTAAATTAGACAAGGTTCATAGCTTTAACTTGACCAAATTTTCTTTCCTTTTTTATTTTTTATTCTGACATGTTTTTAGAGTCCTTACCTGGTTGTTTCTGGACGCTGATGTCGTCCTGTGTTTTCTGTATGTTGGAGGTATCCTTCAGTATGGTGGGGACCCTGGACACAGGGGGTGGCTGTAGGGGGGTCGTGGTGTCGGTCAGGACGGATGCCTCCAGGGACTCGGTGGCTGTGGGGGTGTCTGGAGGAGGGTGGGGGTCAAGAGCGAGACTCAGGTCACCCAGGTAATCTACATATCAAGGAACGGGTTAAAGACTAATTGATTTTAAAATTTAAAGATTGTTGAAATTTCATTGAGTTTTACTTTACTTTACTACTCTTGAGAATTAATAGGGATGAAAAAAGCAATATTCCACTGAATAAAAAAATCAGAATGCATTAAAAAATCAAGTAAATCAAAAATAGGTTAAAATAAATCAAAAAAGGGTTAAATATAAAATCAAGCCAGGAAGAAAAATTAAACAAGGAAAAAAAATTGCAAAATTTGCATCCATTGTTTGTTCACAAACACTGTTCATTAATTTCACTGCAAAACTTCCTTTTAAATCATATTTTATAAAAGCAAAGAAAACAGAAGGATAAGGTGTAAAGATTTAATAGTTAAGACTCAGTACAGAGATCGGCTTCTCATACTTGTGTCAGCCATGTACATGTCCTCAAACGCCTCCTCCATGTTTTTCTGACGCTCATCTTTGTCCTCAAGTCTCCGATGTGGGGGCTCAAACACCTGCTTCTACAACAGAAAAAAAAATGATGAAGACCTTTAAAGCAATAGATGAACTTACAAGTATCAAAGTTTGGTAGGCATATACATGTACCAATCAACTCCTCTCTATGGACACTTACTGGGATATTAGCTACCACCTTCTGTCTCCTGTCACGGTCCGCTCGCTGGAGGTCACTGAGGTCATGTAGGATCTGGTTGTAGTCCTACATTATCAAGAAATGAAAGAAATTAATTCATACCCAAAAATATTTTGAATCCTTCACAATTAACATTAAGAATGAAAAAAGCTCTGAAATTTGTGACTCTCATTATTAAACAGATGATTTTATATTTATTCTTATTTTAAATAAAATATGATCAAAGGATTATCAAATTGTTAAGAGGGCATCAAATATTTTTTATGGAAATAATTCAGATGATTTTTAAGTGTTTTACAAGTATTTATGAATTTAGTCTTACATGAGAGAGTAGCTCTTTCTCCAGGGCATTATTGTGCCTGACTCTTGCCCTAGACAGGCGGTCGTTATGGAGACGGACCATTTCAAGGTCCATTTCTTTTGTCCTTAGTTCCTCCTCCTCTGCTGCTTTCCTAGCGTCTTCCTAGAAGTCAAAATCAAAATCTCCTAAACATCAAAATCTTCCTATCGAATTTGTTTTTATGAAAGCTTTGTAATTACAGTCAAACGTCCATTTCCCAAACTTGATAGGACTGAGGAAAAACTTGGAGTTATCCATGAATTGAAAATATCAAGGGTGAAAATTATACATATTCATTGTATTCAAAAAAATATGGGTTTTAAAGATAAAAAAGTTCAAGTGTAAATGTACTGGATTGTTTCTGATATGTTAAAAACATAGTATGTCATTTTTTTTGTATTACTCTTTTTGTTCAACAAGCAATATTAAATTATGGATAAAATTGTAGTGTTGTCAAATCAACTGAAAATCAGAATCGATTAATCGGTAGCATCGGTTGACCCTAACCAACTGATCATCGGCCAATAATTGAATCGATAACCCTTTGCATAAAATAGGTATTATATTTCATATAAAATTTAGAATTTTATTTTTAAATAATGTACGTAAAGGTACATTGTACAGATCGAAATTCTAAAAACAGTATATATGCAGTTTGATTAACAATTTCAGTAATACAGACTTTTGCATGATTCGGAATTACTTGGACTGGGAAACATAAGCATTGACAGATCAGGTTTTAATTTACATGATCATCTAAAATATATATCAAATTAATTTTTTAAACTGTTATAAGACATTTAATATTGCAAATCCTTGTGATTACGCATGAAATGAAAGGTGAATTCCCCCAAATACTGAAAACTAATATAATTCATTTATACAAGTAGTTTAGTTTCTTTAGTTTAGAAATACAATTATGTATTATTAAAAACATTATCTTATGATTTATTTTAAACAGATTTTAAGTACATGTATTCTAAAATAGGTAATAAATAGGACAGCACTTGGAAGATATATATTTTTATAACAAGAGCCTGTTCTTGAAATAAAAGTGAGAAAACTATTTAAAAAAAGGATATGTGCTGAAATATACCGATAATCTCCAATCGATTGTCTAAAATCGACAGCCTTTCTGACCGATCATCGATTATAAATTGATCATCGTGACAACACTATAAAATTGTAATTTTTTTAAATGCTTAAATGTATGCTCGCTTTTTGCTGTAAAATGGACTTGTTAGCTGTAATTGATGGTTGATGTTTCTAGTCATGTCCTGTATAGATTATTGATGGTGTACCTTTCATTAAAATTCACAATACATAAATTATATATAGTGGGTTGTGGTGAAGTTATCTATATCAGTCATCTTCACAGACTTACCTACAGAACACACAACATACAAATTAAAATACCTCAGTAAAATTCACATTACATATAAATGGTTTATTTAAAATTAATATCACATATTTTTAAAGAATCAAATTAAAATCATGTTTTCACATTCCCATCTTCTGATATATCATGATGACATATCAAAAGACAGGAAAGTGAAAGATCCAATTTCAATAGATTAAAATTTAAGTAAAATATTTCAATAAATGAATTCAAAATGCTTATCAAATTCTAAAACATTTAAATGTAAGATATATAAGAAGTGACATTGATGATTAGTGGTGACCTAAATGTTTGTGTGGGTTTTAAATCTAATTAATAGACTTACGCTCAGGTTGAGCCAGATCAAGAACTGGATCTTTTGGAGGAGGAGGTAAAGAAGCTATAGTTTTGGCTCTCTCTTTCTCTGCATCTAAGGCTACTTGTCTGAAATGAAAATTAATTACTACTTTAGATTTGTGATTTGACATTTATATGAAATCTTTTTTAATGATTACACACTTTAATTTTCTTTTACACATGTTCAAACCTGGGGAGCTACTGTAGATCACTAAATTTTCGCGACACCTTATTTTCGCGACATAGTCATTGACTCTTGATAAGCGAAACAAAATTTTCACGTATGGTGGTTCTGCTCTATATAATCTTAAGGAATACTTTTATACGCGAGAATTAAATTTTCGCGAGCACAATGTCTCGTAATTAAAAAGTGATTTACAGTACTTATAAATATCAAATGGACAATGATTGATTTAGGGAATAACCGTCAAGATTTTTTGGTATTTATGATGATCAATCATTTTGCTCACATCAAATGAATTATCACATGAGCAAATTTTTTAATATTCATTCAAAAATTACATTTTCAATATTTCATTCATTCATATGTTAAAGCTAATTGCAATGATTTGGTTTTTTCAAAGCTGGTTATAATTTGGTATTTTCATTCAGCTGCATAGACTTGATCAAAATTTTGTAGTTTTGTTCATATTGCTTGATTTGTTCATACCTGGCAATGACCTGGTACTTTTGTTCATACATGGCAATGATCTGGTAATTTTATTAATACTTGGCAATGATCTGGTACTTTTGTTCATACCTGGCAATGATCTGGTACTTTTGTTCATACCTGGCAATGATCTGGTACTTTTGTTCATACCTTGCTATGATCTGGTACTTTTGTTCATACCTTGCTATGATCTGGTACTTTTGTTCATACCTGGCAATGATCTGGTACTTTTGTTTACCTTGCTATGATCTGGTACTTTTGTTCATACCTGGCAATGATCTGGTACTTTTGTTCATATTCCTGGAACATCTGTTCACGTCTCTGTTTCTCCAGGGCCTGTTTGTACCGATTGTCTGCTCGTCTGTTGGACTCCTGCTGTAAAAGGTAGCGCTCTTCTTCCACGTCCACCTGTAAGTCGCAACAAAATTACACTTTTAAAGAAACTGTAAATATTCTGAAAACAACACGAAATTACACTGTTAAAGAAATTGTAAACATCCTGTAAACAACACAAAAGAACACAATTTTCAATACAGTTCAGTAGAACTAACATGCTTTATTGAATTCAAATGCAACCTTTCCATAAAATTTTTTTTTTAACAAAACAATACAAAGTAAGGAGCTCTTCTCAAACTTTTAAAGCATATCAGCAATTTGACCTTCAACCTATTGTTTATCATGTTCATCATGTGACCTACCTGTTCACTGGCTTCCCTGTGACCTTGACCTATACTTCGTAAACTGTTCTCATACTGGTTCTCCAAATGTCTGATCTTTTCCTCCTTCTCGTTCTCCAGATTATTCTGTTAAAAAAAATACCACACACTGATTCCAATATATACAACAGAAGCTCTAAAAACTAGGACTGTTGGTGTTTAACATTTGGTACATGTGTGTACACCCATCAAAAATTTTTAAGTGCCAAATAAAATGATCCTTGATTTGTACCATCAGAAATTTCTGCTCTATCATATCACTACATTTAATACTTCAATGGCTGCATTGTGCTAAGTAATCTTTGGGATTTGTCCTCATGACCAAATCAATCATTTATGTTCAATCTACATCTTATTAAATACAGGTATTATCTGGGTACCCTTTAAATACTGCAGGCAAAGCCTCAATCTAATTAGCATATATTCTAAAGGCTACTTCTACACAATAGCTGCAGAGGGATGACTTTTTATTTTGCAGGATAATGGGAAATTACTAGTCATACCCCCAGAGATGCTATTATTGGAATGGTGACCTCATTAAAACTGCATAAATGGATTTCAAGGTAGTGTTGAAACTCTGAATCATGGGAGCTAACTTTAACTAGAACCTGTACCTGAAGGGTTGAAGCCAACTTTTGGAGCTGCCTGTTCTTTTCCTGTTTGACAGCTTGGCGGATCCTAGCAGCATTTTGACTGGACTGCTCTCTCACCTAAAAAAATCAAATAATATGAGTGAAACATCTGAAAATATATGTAGCTTATTAAATTTTCTATCAAAAATAATCTGACTGCTTTGACAGTTATAACTCTTAAAATGGAAAAAAAAAAATGTGTAGTACTTTTGAAAGGTATTTACTCATAAATTAGCACAAAATTCCTAGAAACCTATTTTCTGGTACATTTTACATGCATTAAGAGAATCAAACCTGTTACCCTTGCATCAATGTGCTAGAACCCCTTAAATTATCTACAGTAATATCCATCATTCCAAGCCACTACATTCCTTCCTCCCTGTCTTTGCTATCAAACAGTCACACAAAGGGCAGATTCTTATCCCTTTGACAGGACTTTCACTTTTAAGTCATATGGTCAATGGCACCAAATGTAACAAGAAAATATTTGAATATTTATGGCTTGTCTGACTGACAGAGAATCTAACCTATGTCCCCTGTATAGTGTATAAAAAGTCAAATATGCTCTAACCAATGAGCTGCCCAGGCTGTTATTTATGGTCTTTCACCACTACTACACAAGCAAGCAAATTTTATTCCTGCTCCTTAATTAATTTAAGTAGTGTTATCTGACCTGTTGTAGCCTGAGTCGCCTCCGTTTCTCCGTCTCTTCCTTCATCAGCCGAGCCTCTTCGTTCGGGCTCAGCCGACATCTCCCTTTCTTAGCCTTCATTCTTCTGTCTACAATACAGTCATCATCAAATTAATTGTATTATTTCGGCATTTTATATCCAAGTACTAATAAACAAATATCGGTGAAAAATCATATTTCCCTGGCTTAAATCACTCGTGAAAATAAGCTGAAATACGAAACTTACAACATAGCCAAATTACACTCACAGACACACAAACACACCAATGTACAACACACACAATAAAACAAATCCCTGGATGGTCTAGATAAGGAATCCATAGTAATCAACTAAATCAAGGTTTAAAAACTAATAACTAAAATTAGTATTTGATTTGGGTTTTTCAAATTAAAATCTATCTGGTGTAATAGGATAAATTTTCTTCATGATGGTTTTGCATGATTATTTTGCTGTAAAGAGGAAAAGCAAAGTAGAGTTTTGTAAAACATATTACGGTACAATGTAAAATACATCACTTCAAGATATCTTTTGAGTCATTCCAGATTTAAATGGTTTGAAAATATTTGCTGATGTGTAATTTGCTCTTTACATTAAATTAACATTTAAAATGAAAAATCTAGACTTAAATGCACAGTTTCAGACTGTAAAAAAAAAAGCAGAAAAGAAATTGGAATGAACAGTTCAATGGTCAGCAGGTTAGTGAAGAAAACTGGTAACTACCATATTTCTAAATTCATATTTTGTTCTAGAACTTCTACTATAAACCTAGTTTAATTCTTAAATCTATCCATTAAAGAAATCCAACTTTATCTGTATATGCCCTATTGATCAATCTGAGAATTAATTTTTAATGAAATTTGTCACTCCACATGCTCCAGCAAATTTATTTTTTCCCATGTAAATAACTGGTACTTCAGTTCAAAAAATGATGTGTCAAATCTAATGAAAATCAGGCCATCGTGATCATGTCAAGGATTAAATAATAGAGAAAACCCATTCACAAAAAAAACTCTTGAAAATTAAACAATTGTACCAGATGTTGTGTTTGACAATCATTGATAATACACAAATCCCATGCTTAGATATGATTATTCAGTATTTAAATCCCATAGCCAGACTTTGAGTATTATGCACTTATGCCCTACTAAAAGATTGCATTTAATGTTTTCAAGTCTAACTTGAAGCATTGAAGTATTATAGTGTATTATGAATGCATGTCAATCATTTACAGATTTCATGCATTTATAATGGTATGCTTTTAGAACATTACTTTCCACCTCTGAAGAAAATAAAAGAACAATTTAAAATCCATACTTTAAATAACTACATGTGTACAATATTTATTTTATTAATTTAAAAATAGCAATTCATTGTTCTTTTCATTCAATCATGCATACCTTGTTGTGCTTTTGTGTAAAACATGCACAGCCTGCCCTTCTTTAATTGTGTTAATTTTATGAATACTATATGTTTTTCAATAAATTTATATTAAATAATCATAACCCGTGAAGAGTGGGGAAGTGGTAAAATATATATCTACATTCTACAATAATTATATTTATTTCAATTTAATATACTGACCTTTCAATCTTTTTTAAATTATAGATTGTTTAAGAGTATTTTAGATTGATGGATTTTCAATTGTTATTTTTAAAAGAAGAAATTCACCCCTCCCCAAATGTTTATACTGCATGAAATAATTTTTGCTACACTTTTTCATTTATATTCTGACATGGTCAGTATGACACATAAAAATACTGATGGTCCCATAATCATGATAATTTGTATTCATTAAATATTGATTAATTAATTTTGTCTAAAAAACTTGAAAAGGTCAATAAGTAATGGTTTAGAGGGTATAGACTTAGGTGGGTTTGCATTTCACTCAGAACTGTTTCCACCCCATACTATCACCAAAATCAGAGTATACATACTCAGCGAATAATTATCCTCACATCCATGTTCAATAAATCCGGCTATCACATGATTTTTTACAAATCGCTTACAGAATGGTGAAGCCATTGAAACCTGTCATCAAAAGGTGTTGATCATTGCTTTATCAAAAATCAAATCACTAAATATTCACAGTAATATCATGATAGCAATGCTGTGTGTATTGAAATTATCATATCAAATCTAGCTGTCATTTCGGTTCTAGTCCAAGATAAATAAATTCCTAATTAAGTCACACTGATATTATAAATTCCACTGAAGAATTAATATATATTCCCACATTTGTTTATGAAAACATTAAATAATATTCCAGTTGTAATAAATAATAATCAGTATAAAATTCTGTTGTGTTTTACAGAAACTAATCTAAATAGGTGTGAACAGTGGTGATTGGAACAATGGCCGTAGGTGAATATTTTTGTATTCTATTTGGGTTTTAGATAACGCTCATTTTCTCAAATTGTATTCAAAGTGTCACGCTACATTAATATTCTATTGTCATGTTGAAGTCAATAGAATAAACAAGCATGTTCTTGTGTTTTGCCCCTTTGATATTTTTAGAAAATATCTCTAAAATCTTTACAATATGCGCAAAGTAGAAATAAAATTTATCAAAAATATTCAAAACTTGTACCTCCATAATTTGGATACAATGCTACATCTTTCTGCAAATGTTATCCGAGCTGGAAATCGTTAGTTTACTCCCTGGCGCTCTCCGCAGACAGGTCCAGACACAGACATAAACAAAAATTTGAAACTCGTGCTTCCGGTTGCGCATTGAAGAGATGTCTAATTGCCGGAAAAGATAGGAAAGAATAAAAGGAAAACATTTTTTCCTTTTAGCATTGCTGAAAAAACATCGAATATAGGAGATCATTACTTTTTGGTATTTTCATATCCTTTTCACTGTTATAATACGATATAAACTGAGGCAGTGATTTTTTTAAAAATCATATTATGTCGGTTTTTTTTTTTAAATATTTGAATTACAGGAAAATAATCTAATGAAGAATATAATAATATTTTGCCAGCATTATTATTTCTTCATGTTTTATTTTTGAAACAGTTTTGAGATCTTGGGGTTTTATAGTTAAAAAAAAAATAATTTTGTTCATTTTCTTCTTTTCCTCTAAATAGTTCAGTTATTCTACTTTCACTTTCATGTTATACTTTGGAAAACTGAAACTAGGAAACGTGTCAACTTCATTACAATGTGACATCAGACTTAATTTACATTTTTAATAGATGTATCGTGTCTTGATTACATGCACTCATTAGACTGTCAGTTACGTGGCAGTAAAGGTATGTACAACTATGTAGGAATATAAAAAAATAATAATAATGCACCAAAACTTAACAAAAATGATGTTTGCAAAAGAGTACCCGAAATATACAGATCAAAGCATAAAATCTATATTAAAACTATACATGTATTTACGAGTATTCGTACCTTTTTTCTTCACTGTAGCAAAAACATTGGGTGTGTAGAAGAAATCCGTATTTTACAAGAGGATAATTTCTGCTGAGATAGGTATAATGTAGTTGCAAATCATGATTATTGAATTGATGATTTGTATATTTGTTAATTTAAATTTAAATTTGTACGCTTTGTACAATGTACACGTCTTCATAAAATACTACATGTAATTTTTTAATGACACAAAAGTTAGTTATCTTCAAGTATATTTATAATGTTCTGCCTTTCTAAATACCACTTTACTACTTTGATTGGATGATTAATTTATACATGTATTTGCGATGCTATTTATTAACATTATTTTATTTTAGTGGATGAAAATGCGCCAACTGAAGGGAAAAGTGAAGGAGAATCGAAAGGAGAAAAGAGAGAGGAAACTAGAAAATCTGAAAAATCATGAAAATGCACTGAAAATTTGCCTTCCTGTTCTCTTAGTTATTGCTGCAATTATTGTGGCTTATGTCTATGTTTCTACAAGGCCAAAAGTATAGCAATTCTTGAACAACATTAATCTTAAAAGATGGTGAAGAAATAGTCGTTTCTTTTAGGGACTGTGAACAAATTTGTTCTTGCCTGGTTTTGAAAAAAAAGACCTGGTTTCAGATGTGTGAAATGTTTATTAGGAAGACTGTATTCATTGATAGTTATTCTACAGGTGCTGCATATATTTACAATGTATAAATTTTTAATCATAATTCTCTCATAAACATATTATTTATCATGAATTTTTATGTGTATAAAGGTTGTATAAACTCCCTACAGCCTACAGATTAGTGTCAAAAAAAATATATTGAGATTCAACATGAGATTTTTTTTTGTATGTATAATTTTACTATACAGATTCAGTATTGTATAAAGCTTTTGCTCAGGAGTGCTTAACTTTTGTATGTGATACAAGAATAACATTATAGTGCACATTATTTTCACCTTTCTGTATGAGAGTGTTTTACAGATTTTATGTACAACTTGATGTGTTAGAACTTTAAGTTGTAATTTTCTGTTACTTTTACATGATGAATTTTCAATTGTCATACATGTACATTAAAATTAGAAGAAAATAATTCAAATAATCACAAGTAAATTTAGTTTGCAAAAAATCATGTTAAATTTTCAAATTGTATTCTTTTTTTTTTTTTTTTACATGAACTATTTGTTTATATTTAAGAAAACAGTAAGAGAGACCTCTCTCATTTTGTCACAGTCATGTACACTGTAACTATGTTATTTATACCTCAGTTTCACTGCATAGAAAAATGTTCACTTCGAAATGCGATTTTCATTTTCTTGAATTTTCCCTTTTATTTTATGCCATATAAACAAGATTCATTGGATATAAATGAAAACAAACAAATGATCAAATGTAAAGAAAGCAAATTTATAATGAGATTAATAATGTATTTTATGTGATATTGCATAATACTGACTCTGAAAGTTCTTGATATTTAAACAAATGAACATTTTAAATACTTTTTTAAATACTTTTTATGTTGGGTAATGGATTTGTTTATTGTTGTTTTGTTGAATTATGTAGTTCTTTATACATTTTAATAAACTTGAAAGTTCTAGACTTGTTTTATTTTGCTTCAGAATATTTTTCCCGGGAAGTTTATTGTGTAGTTCTGCGTCATTTGTACAATGTAAGACTATTTACATGGTAACTTGCGTTGGTTTTTGCCAAAAATATACAAAACTGCACTTGTACATTTACATAATGGGAAGTTTTGGACATTATAAGCTAAAAGACAACAGTTTTGCAAAGAACCCAGCTATTATTTAATGAAGTGTTTTGCTACAATATTTAGATGGGTACAAAAATTGCAATTGTTCATTTTGTGTTGTAACTTCTGAAACTTCCCAACTCCAAGAAATGCAAATTAAATATTGTACATGTAGAGTTGATCTAACCTCCACTGAGGAATAAAGTGTGATGACTTTTTTTGCGAAGATATACATAATATAGGCATTTATCATTTGTGTAGGTTTAGTTGATTGATCCAACACCCCACCCCCTATTTTCCTTTTCTTTTTTTTTTTTGCTTGTCAAGTTTTTCAATTTTATGGGTTTAAATTTTTTTTCTCTGTCACTTAGCCCCCCCCCCCCCCCAACTTTCAATTTGTGTCCGAAGCCAATGAAAAACATCATAGAGGTCCAACGTACATCTCATCAGCAGGTTCAACATGTCTTGCAACAATCAAATTTAGGCATTTTCTTTATTGTTCTGAATTTTTAAAATATTGAAAAATGATGGACCATATTTAGTATAAACTTACAGTGTACATGTATATTAGAAACAATAAAACTTGTTTTCAAATTAATGTTTGCCTGCAACTACCATTCTTTGGAAATGTGCTAGTAAACGTAACATATTTTTCCAGATATCAATGTATTTTTTACTTATAATCCTGCAGCATGCAGTTTGGAAATTGAACAGATTTCTTTATACTACATTAATTGCCACTATATGCCTTAAATGTACTTTAAGTAAGTAAGCTGCAGGGACAAATTTTCATGGAGACTTTGTAACCACATAGGTAGGGTAAATTTATACCACATGGAAAAGTGCTCCTACTGTTATTTGAACACAGAGTGCTACTGCAAGCTAAACCCTTCTAGCAGTAAAAAGACTTTAATCATCATGATTTAATGCCCTGTTCACACGACAAGTTTAATTCACAGTAAATTAATGCAAAGTAAACTAGTGTGAATCAAACTAATGCAAATTAAATTGCGTTCAAACGACAGCTAATGCAAAGTAAACTAATGCAAATTAAAATTTTACTTCTACAGTCAGGCGTCAGTAAGGCTATTGAGACGTCATTTGCCAATCACGTCACCTTATGCAGAAGCAGATGCATTTGTCATAATGCCACAGTGTCTGTACACAACGTTTAGTGATTAACATATTTTCCCTCAGTTTATCACTCAAAAATAGCACAGGTACTTAAAGCTGTCTATCGACATGTGGCATTTGACTTAATTTTGCCACTACGCATGCCTCAAACTTTAATTTAGCTTCGCTTAGCGTTCACACATGGAGTTAATGCGAAGTAATTAAATGCGCAGTAAATTAATTCAAATTAAACTAATTTGCATTAAATTCACCGTGTGAATGCTAAGCAAAGCTAATTCGTAGTAAACTTATGTTTAATTCGAATTAAACTTATTAAATTAACTCTCTAACTTAGTTCCATTCATTAGATATTTAATATTCAAGTCAACACTCTTTACATGAATGAATTATCAACAGTTTTGTCCTTAAAGTTTTCAGTGGATCCACAGGTCATGAGATGATGTCTCCTTTTATGTGTATGTATATATCTGTGTATACTGAAAAAAAGAAAGTTGCTGTGTGATGAAAAGGATAATAAAGAAGTCTCTGATGCAAAGTTTCAAATCCAAGTGCTTCTTTTTCTTTGTTATACGCTAAGCAAAGCTAATTCGTAGTAATTAAACTTATGTTTAATTCGAATTAAACTCTCCGTGTGAACAGGGCATTAATTTCAATTAAAAAAACTATCGATCAATACAAACCACTGAGTTTTAAATTATATTTAACTACTAGACTCATAATATTACATGTACTTTCAATAGTAAATAATTCATCTTAAAAACAAGTTACAAAAATTACTGAATTTTCTGTAAGTCTTTTTTAAGTTCATAATCAATGATTTTCAATCATAAACATAACAAATCAATGTAATGCCTCTTTTATATCAATATACTGTAAAACTTTTCAAAGAAAAACACATTTTCCTCATTTTGATAGAACATTTTAACAGCTGAATTGAAAAATTGAACAAATATTTATTTGTATGCATTATTCAACAAGAATCACAAACTTATAATCAATACACCATAAAATGCATATGTATATATGTATTATGATGTACAAAAATGTATCAACTTCATTTCAAATAAAAGTCCATTATTGTTTAGATGGATGGATTAAGAAAGCATTCTTCACACAGTAACATCAGAACTGCTCCAAGTATTCAAAACTTGTTCATCCATTTACTCTTTATCAACAAGCTTCTAGGTATCTTGTCAGACACATCAGTATGGAATAAAGAATGCTTCATTTAGAAAAACCTCATATACCGTGTAAAGTTGTAATCCATTCTACAAATGTCAGTTATTAACGTGCAGAGAGTTACAAATCATTTAATATTTCTAACTATTCTTCTGCAATATGGTGACTTCATTTCTTGAAGTGCTTCATCCAGAACTTTGGTTAAGTGCATTAAATTCACGGGGTCAGTCTGTAGAATTTTAGTGTCCTTGACCCCTGATTCTTCTGTCTGAAGTTTGAACAGAATTGTGGGAGTTGTCTGTCTTCTGAGAGACCTGCTGGCCAACTGAAATAAAAAGATTGTAGATGTAAAGCTAAAATCTTCATGATAAGCTGGTAAGAGTTGTTGCCCTTTAAATGCAGTTTGCAATATATCTTAACAATATGTACTGGGCAAATCTACACAGTATACCTGTAACTTAAATCAAATGAAACAGATTATCAGAGGGGAATTTTCATTCAGTCCCATGAATAAAACTCCTACAGGCAGATACTTGTAAAAGAATTAAAAGTGATCTAGAATGAGCACTGTCTAGTTTTTAAAGATAAATACAGGTACATGTATCATGATTTTGTCTTGCAAAAATTATGTCACACAGATTTTTACTTTATATAAAAATACAAACTACATGTAGTTGGAGAGGAAATTGTAATGCACTTATGTGAATTGGTTAATTTGTCGTAGTGTCCGTATTGAAAGTGACATAATTTGTGTTAATTGCATGGGTTTGAAATCTAATGATGTCTTGATTTAAGATATGCCCCTTTGCCAGGGAATGCTTTGCTTTGATGAGACCTTGTTATCCCCTCACAACAGAGTGTGTGTGATTATGTATGTGTGTGTGTGTGTGTGTGTGCGTGTGTGGCTCCCCCATACTGGGGACCTGCTACAGATACGCAAGTCGTAAAATGGGGACATAAAAAACATTGGGGACTTGATTTAAGTCCCCAATTTTTTTTATCGTTGAAAACGAAAAATTGACATGTCTAAATCCTAAAAATATCAAAAAAATAACGTGTCTCAGTTACGGGGTTTTATCGGACACATGATTACACAGATATCGTGTTGATTGAAATTGCCATCTTCACTTACACATCTCTGACGTTACACACTTCTAGATTACGCATGCGCGTGTGTAAAAAAAGCGGAAGTCCAATTGTTTCGAAGCGGGATACAATAAACATGTGGAAAAGAAGACATAGAGGAAAGCCTGGACACAGAATCCTAGATTCTTTTGATGAAGATGATTTTCATGCTGAAAACGGTATGTTATCTACTTCTTTGATAAAATATGGTGCGAGGAACATGCATCAAAGTATTGAAGGGGGGAGGGGGGCAATGACGATTGCTGCATAGGCCTATCGGGTACTCAGTTGAAATGAAAAGACAGTTATTTATGTGA